TGTGGTTTATCCATAGGACTATTACGGATGATACTGCAGAGAACCCTTAGTGGAAGTCTGATAGGTGAGCTAGGTTGGCCAGGTCCGGTTGCAGGTTCTGTGGGTGCTAGAGGACTAGCACTGACGGAAGTGACCACAGCAGGCCTCGCCGAGACCTCAGGTGTCGGTGTATACACTGTTGTAGCAGGCTCCGCCTCTGCAGGACCTGCTTCCACAACCGAGCCACAGGCTCAAATCTAGTTTGTGTTTTTAATTTTAACAAACTTAAATGCAGGCTCTCCTCCTGGTTGGACGTGCCCGGAAAACCTCACCAGGGAGGCGTCCTGACCAGATGCCTTAGCCACCTCAACTGGCTCCTCTTGATGTGGAGGAGCAGCGAATCTACTCCGAGCCCCTCCCAGGTGACCGAGCTTCTCACCCTGTCTCTAAGGGAGAGCCCAGACACCCTGCGGAGAAAACTCATTTCAACCGCTTGTATTCGCGATCTCGTTCTTTCCGGTCACTACCCAGAGCTCGTGACCATAGGTGAGGGTAGGAACATAGATCCACCGGTAAATCGAGAACTTTGCCTTCTGGCTCTGCTCTCCCCATAACGTTCTGTTAACGTCATGCTAACCGTGAAATAACGTTCAAACAACTTTAAGCAAACATTCCAGCAATGTTTTTGTAACGTTAACACGCCATTCCAGTAACGTTAAACAAACTGGACATTTCTACATTTTTACAACATTCAAAATAAACATTCCCATAACATTCTTACAACAAGTTTCTGTTAGCTGGGTCTCTTCACCACGACAGACCGGTACAACGCCCGCATCACTGCAGATGCAGCACCAATCCACCTATCAATATTACGCTCCAGCCTTCCCTCACTTGTGAACAAAACCCCAAGATACTCAAACTCCTCCCTTTGGGGGAGGACCTCCTCCCTGACCTAGAGAAGGCATTCTACTCTTTTCTGACCCATGACCACGGTCTCGGTCTGAGACATAAAATTTAATGTTTAAAAAAAAGAAACTGACTAGCTTTCCTGAACATCTTGTTGCTGCTTTTGTGATTTCCATATTCTATCTGCACGCATTCATGTTCTCACTCAGTTATTCTGCTATGGAATTTTATTTGAACATTGTTTTAAATTTAATGGATTTTTTCATTTATGTTTTTGTCCACGATACATCTTTTATTCTTTCTTCTGACTTGCTCCTGTTGGGAGTGTGACTGCTGCGGGTGACACTACTGTATTGTCTCCACTGAAGGACAATAAAGGACTCTTCTATTCCTGGTGCTCAGTCCATCCTCGCTAGATAGATGAGGAGATGTTGGTCCTGATGTTCAGAAGAAGGTTCAATCCAAGGACCAATACTGTTTCTTCTATATATGAATGATATATGCAGGGTATCATCAAAACTCAAAATCATCTTATTTGCTGATGACACTACAATATTATGTTCAGGTAAAGATCTACAGTTACTTGTGACAGAGATGACAGCGGAATTAGAAAAACTTAAAGACTGGTTTAACAAAAATAAATTATCTCTAAACATATCAAAAACAAAAATGATGCTGTTTGGTAAGCAAACTAAAGACAATGAAATCAGAATCAAAATGGAAAACAATGAAATAGAAAATGTAAATGAATATCAATTCCTGGGAGTGATACTTACAATGTCAGCTGGAGATCTCATATACATCGTATACAAAAGAAATTGGCAAAGAACATTGCAATTATGAGAAAATGTAAATTCCTTTTGGACCACAAAGCTCTACTAATCTTGTACTACGCATTTATTCTCCTCTATCGTAGTTACTGCGCAGAGGTCTGGGGTAATACCTACAGTAGCCTTTTGGAGGCAGTATTTAGACTAAAAAAATCTATTAGGAATGTACATAATGTTGGTTTCACAGACCAAACTAATACACTTTCATAAAGTCTAAAATTTTAAAACTTGATGATCTAGTTAACCTAAAATCAATGCTGATTTTGTACAGAGCAAGACAGAATCAATTACCAGTCAATATTGAACAGCTGTTTTTTGATAGAGAGGGTGGATACGATTTGCGGGGATCACATAATTTCAAGGTGGTATGCGCCCGCACAACCCTCAAAACTCACTGCATATCCAGAAGAGGTGTTAAGCTTTGGAATGGTTTAGATGACAACTTACAGAGTGCTGCTAGTCTCCTACTATTTAAAGAGCAAGTCAACCCCTACCAGAGTCTAACTCCACTTCCACTTCATGTTTGAAAAATGCAACAAATGCTGTTGCCTGGCAGACCGAGAGGGCGGAGCCGCTAACAAATACACACACTCAGGCTCACGACAGCATTGTGACATCATAATGTACCAGTTTACATCATAGCATACTTCTTAGCCAATAGCGGTGGCAGATTTAAATTAAAATACAGTGCAGAGTTTTTACCTGACAACGGCTCAACACTGCCAGTTTTAGGCAGAATATTTAAATTTTAACTAAGATGCACTGAAGTGCCAAATTATTGACGACACGTGTCTGCAGCACGATTAGACACTCGTTTATTTAGTTTATCAGCCAAAAAAAGTTTATTTGGGGGTGACTTGCTCTTTAAAAGACAATGTAAGATGACTGTTAATGAGAAATATGTTGAGGATACGTGATGGAAAAGCTTCTTGGTTTTATTCTGACTATGTGTTGTTATAAAAAAGAACAGTACAAAATATAAAATGAATAACAAAATACGCATGAAAGGTTAATTAACAAAACATTTACCGTCAAAAGGTATAATATTGTAAATTGTATAATATTGTAATGTGGAGTAGGTGCACATAAGCTTCTTTGCCTCAGCCTACTCCATTTGAGCATTGTTGTTGTAATGTTGTGAATTTTGAAAGAATACAACAAATGTAACTGCTCAATGAATGTGCTAAATAAATGTTACAGGCAGCAGCAAATCTGTTCCTGAGAAGGTTGAAGCTGAAATGTTCAGAAGAACATGGAAAACCTGGAGTGTGGAGATCCTGTTGAGTGGAGAACCTAGAGTTTCTGATTGAAGAACCTGCTGAGTGGAGAACCTGTTGTGTGGAGAAAAAGCTGAGTGGAGAACCTGTTGATTGAAGAACATGCTGAGTGGAGAACCTGCTCAGTGGAGAACCTGTTGTGTGGAGAACCAGCTGAGTGGAGAACCTGTTGATTGGAGAACCAGTTGAACCAGTTGTTTGGAGAACCTGCTGAGTGGAGAACAGCTGAGTGGAGAACCTGTTGATTGGAGAACCTGCTGAGTGGAGAACCTGTTGATTGGAGAACCTGCTGAGTGGAGAACCTGCTGAGTGGAGAACCTGCTGAGTGGAGAACCATCTGCATGGAGAACCTAATGAGTGAGCTCACAGCTCCTGCTAAATGACTATCCCACGGGGAATCAACCAGGTTTTTCAGTGGAGAACTTTTAGCAGCACATGAACCATCTTTCTGAATGAACAATTATTATTGACTCAACCCACCACCCACTCATCAGACATGAAACCGGCCACCAAAAGCTACCTGGGAATTATCTTCTGACCAGTCGTGGGTATGCTGAAGGTGTCTACGATCTTCAGACACATCAGAAGTCCACTCACTAGCGCTGAGAGATGGCTTCACCTGCAGACCGGATCTCCAAGAACTTCCACTACCCTGGTGCGTAGGCTCTACACTGGCATCAGAGTGGTTGGTATTAATCTGATAACTTGTTAAATTACATCCAACAAACAGCCAAATTAATTTTATAAGCCCAGACATCACACCTGTCTGAGTCTGAAGCTCCTAAACACACCAGGTCATGTTTCATCGGTTCACTCATTGTGTCATTTAACATCACTGTGAATCGTCATTTATAATCAGTTGTCTTTCATCATTATTGATAATAGTAATATAGTAATACATTGATTTTTATAAACTATATTTTTGTCTCTGTTTTAAATTATTATAAGGTGTTGTTTCCCTGGCGTAGCCTAATTAGGTCAATGCTACAGATCCCAGTGCTGAAACAACACAGTAGTGTGTCTTCAAGCTGCAATGATAGCGTCTGTCTAATATTCAAAGCCAGTTCAATCCTGAGTGTAGGTGCCAAAACAGAGAACCACAATCTCCTCGTGATCTATACCTAGCACGAGGAAACACCAACATATCACACTCAGCTGAGCCAAGTGTGCGTGAATATTTATGTCGATGGAATGAACATGTCCTTGTATTAACGCCGACAGGTAAGCAGGTGCAGTTCCATGTACAGCCCTGTAAGCAAGTGTAAGAACTGAGCTCTAAACTTTACAGCCAACCAATGAAGTGCTGCCAACACTGGCGTAACGTGTTCGCTGCCTCTAGTAACCATGAGGAACCTGGCCGCCGATTTCTGAACCAGCTGGAGATATGATGCTGCTCAGACTGGCATACAAAACATTACAGTAATCAATCCTAGACAGGACAAGAGCATGAAGATGGCATGAAGGTGGTCACGGCTCAGCACAGACTTGATCTGAGCCAAGCGTTGCAGATGGAAGAGGCAGTTACACACAACCATGTTCTCCTTCAGAAGCTGACTGCTGCATCCTTCCTCCCAGCAGCTGTTAGACTCCAGAACCACCACTGTTCCCAACAAAACCAGTTTAAGTTTTTGCCTCCTTGTTGCTTTTATTATCACTAAATATGTTCTCTCCAATTTCTGCTGCTGGTCCTTTTACACTGACGTTTTAATCTAAAAACATAATAAATTCAACTGAATCTTTATTAAATCCAGAAGAACGATGATGTAGCAAAAAGAAAATCTCCTTCAAAAGGTCGTTTAAAACCCTTCAGAACATCAGCAGAACCGATCCAGAACATGGTGGTTCTAGTCTGTCCGGATCAGGGGTTATCATAAACTTAATGAGGTAATCTCTGACAGATTAAATCCTACACAACTGGTCTTGAGCATAAACAGGAATTATGAATCCGTTTTGGTTTGAGTTCGTGCGCTCTGAGCTGCTCTCTGATTGGCTGAGAGCTGAGTTCCTCCTGAGGAGGAAATCACTCCTTTTATAGTTAACGGAGCTCCGCGGGGCCGTTTTCCGGGTTCACGCGCTCACCCAGCATGTAGAGGAGGAGACACCTGGAGCTCCGCGGCACACGGCATCGATCCGCTCCTATCGATCAGCGATCAGTCAAGGTGAGAGGCTCTGGGGGAGGGAGGGACCAGGGGGAGGGATGAGGGGGAGGGGTGGGGGGGTGGGGGGGTTCGGACGGAACCGGGATGAGATCTCAAGGTGTATCCAGCCTCTGATCAGACATGTCAGGTCCTGCAGAGCCTCTGCTGCTGCTGAGCTCACGGCTCAGAGTTCAGTTCTGACCCGGTTCGAAGTTCCGATCAGGGCCCGTAACTGCTCTGGGAACATATTATAAAACACCCCCTATCAGGGGTTCGGCTGGAGGTTCCGGGTTATTCACCCAGAACCAGCAGCAGGACTCGTTTCCGTTTCTGAGCTGCAGAAGAAGCAGAATCTGATTTGATGTTTATGGAGTTTGTTACAGAGACGTTCCTAGACTTTAACTTGTGGGGGGCAGAGGCTTTGTTTACATATCTGAATAATCATCCTCAGGTAAATATAAAGAAATACAGGATGAACAAATAATAAACCTTTCATCTTGTTATTAACTCATGATTATTATTATCTGGTGTTCTTCAGTCTGACGCTAAGCTGTTAACAGGATCCACCAACAATCTAAACCCCATCCATCAGTTATTCTCAACTGTTCTATTCACCTTCCCACTGTGATGTTTACAGGTACGGTGGCTGAGAGCAGCACATGGACCCATAAATCCATCAATGTTGTGCATTTCACTGAATAAATCATTTTAGGTGGTGACATCTAAAAATCCCCCAAAATAAAAACTCATTAAAATTTAAGTTTGGGGTGAAAGCAAGCTGAGAAAAAAACCCCAACAATGAGCCATTAAATGAATCTGAAAAATGTAAAAAAGCAGAAGTTCAGGAGAAAAAGCTCCTAAAGGCATCACAACCTCAACCAGCACCAAAAACACTGTTAAACAGGACAAAAAAATTAGGATTTATCACTGAAACCACACACACACACACACACACACACACACACACACACACACACACACACACACACACACACACACACACACACACACACACACACACACACACACACACACACACACACACACACACACACCTGTCAGACATCTGCATTGGTCTCTAGGAATGAATCCTTGTAAGTCGTATACTCTGGGGAAACAAAGCTCCGATGTACCTGCTTCAGGCTTCAGACAGCAGGTTTTGGAGTCTTATTTCTTGATATTTGGACATCTCTCCTCTGATTGGCTAACAGCAACACAACTCTACCACTGACAAAGGAAGGCAGCTTTATTTCTGTAGCACGTGTCATACACAGAGGCAATTCAATGTGCTTCCATTAGTAAGAGTAGCAAGAACACTAAAATCAATTTGACAGAAAATACAATTTAAAAATTAAAAAGAAACAAAGGCAAAGTTAAAGGGTGAGTAGTTACAGTGCAGAAGGTGCAAAGTCTGTTCTGACTGCTTGTAAATATTGTAAATGAGAACAGTCATTTGTCTTTACGTCTAGTCGTTTTATCTTATGGTGATCTAGTATGTTTATATCTTATCCGTTTCTCTTTGATGTAAAGCAGGGGTGTCCAATCCTGGTCCTGGAGTGCCGGTAACCAGCAGGTTTTGTGGTTTTTCTGCTTCAACACGCTTGATTAGCTGGTTGAATCACCTGTGCAGCAGCTCATCGGGCTATGCAGAAGCCTGTTAATCACCTGCTGATTGAAATCAGGTGTGATGAAGCAGGTTAAAACGAATATGTGCTAGATACCGGCCCTCGAGGACCAGGATTGGACACCCCTGATGTAAAGCTAACCGTGTGAGGGGTGATGGTGGCACAGGACTTAAATGCTCGTAAGTTTCTAGAGCTGGGCCACATCTGAGGTCATGAGGAAGCTGAATCCATCTGTGAGCAGCACAGTAGCTAAAAGCAGCTTCACCCTGAAGGTTCTGACCCGGTTCTACCAGCTGACTGTTTCCTAAGGGTCTCAGCCCTGCTGGGCTACAGGAAGGAGATCTGACATGTATTCTAGTCCCATGCCATTGAGTGATTTATGAACTAGTAGGAGCACTTTGAAGTCTATTCTGTAGTTTACTGGTAACCAGTGTAGAGATCTAAGAACAGGAGTGATGTGCTCCGTTCTCTTAGTTCTTGTTAAGACTCCAGCAGCAGCATTCTGAACAAGCTGCAGTTGCTTCACAGCTTTTTTGGGAAGAACAGTTAGGAGACCATTGCAGTAGTCTAGCCTGCTGGAGATGAACACATGAATGAGTTTTTCGAGGTCTTGTCTGGACATGCGACCTCTGAGTCGTGCTATTTGATGAAAACGATAAAATGCTGATCTAGGGCTGCTCGATTATGGCAAAAATCATAGTCACGATTATTTAGACTGAAATAATCGTGACTATTTAGATGATTTTTTAAATTAACGTTATATAATTTATTATTTCATTTATTTATTTGGTCATAAATTAGCTCAGGGCACAATCAGGACAAAAATTAACAAGAAAAGAAAAGAAACAATATAATTATGGTAAAAGGCCTGCATTTGATATAGAGCCTTCTAGAATCCTGGAACCCCCCAAGGTGCTTTACAACACAGTCATTCACCCATCCACACCCTGTTGGTGATAAGCTATATTGTAGCCACAGCTGCCCCGGGAGCGCACTGCCAGTGGCGAGTGTCTCTGTTATATCTTCACAAATGAAAAGGGGGGTGAGGTTCTAATGTCCCAAAACAAAAACAAATTTACCAAAACGGAGTACAGATGAGCAGTAGCTTCTTTTGACTTTCTTAAGTGCACACACGTCTGTCTAAACGTCTTCTAGGACCAATAGAATGACGTAAGCAAAATACTTGAGAGTTATAATCTCTTTATTACTTATCACACTTAGTGAATTTGCAATACATTACATGTGCACAATGAAGCAGCTGCGGAGACGAGCTCAAGGTTAAAGAGTCGCACCCGTCGGAGCGTCCATGAACTGCTTAAATCCTGTTTGAAGAGGTGAGGCGAGCAATCAGTTCATTTGCTGCAGGTGTGATCCCTGATCCGCGTCCTGGAGATTCCTCCCCTCGATATTGCCGCTGTCTGTCCTTGTTGCGGGGATCCTCCCCCATTGTCCCGGCAACCCTGCACCTCGTTGCAGCAGGAGCTCACGCCCCCACTCTCTCCTCTGCTCCGCAAGCTTTACATGCCGTAAGTCCGCGCTTGAAAAATTCTGAAGTGTTGTTGAATTTGGATGAGAAATTAACACATTTAACAGAACAGCAGAGGTTTTAACAGAGGTTAGCTGCTCCTCACCAGTTTCTAGGTGATAGAGCTAAGTAGATCTGAGTATCATCTGCATGACCCTGAGGTAGTATATGACCTGACCCAGGGGAGCACGTAGAGATTCAAGAGCAGTGGTCCAAGAATTTGGTGACTCTGTCTGCTCTGCAACGCTGATGTTTCATCTCCACAAATAACACAAGCCTGGAGGAGTTCTGCTGTGTGGTGGAGCTAATGCTAGCAGTTAGCATATACTAGCAGAAACATTCTCTGCTGTTTCCTGGACGCTAAACCAACAACAGCCTTCCCCGTCATGAGTCCATGAATGTTAGTGACAGTGTGACGTAGATCTGTCAGGATTTTCTATCCTAGAGTGTCACCGTCTGTTTTCTATCAGAAGTTAAAGCAGGAGATAGGTGTAGGAGACTATTTTCATGTTCAGCCTGCATGAAACACTCAGAGTGACTCGTTAGAATCAGAGATAAGACTTAAAAAGGTTTTTTTGCACCTTCAAAAACAGAAAAACCACCATGGCAGCAGATTGTCGCCCCCTGTTGGACTGGAGTCCATATCAACAAAATCATCAAACCTGTAGTAAAAAGAGCTAAAAGCTCAAATATCGTAATAATCTGGGTTTGAATTATGGGGGAGCCGAGGGGAGCAGCTCTCCCAAAAGGTTGATGGACTCCCCAGGAAGCCGTGAACTGACTCACCCAGAGGTAGCCCGAAAAAAATTCTGATTTCAACCTACATTACATTAATTATCCGGACCAACGGTCCTCCTCCTGGTTCTGAAGACCCACCCCGCATGTTTCAGTTGTAACTCTGCTTCAACATGCCTGATTTCAACCAGTAGGTGCTTAACAGGCTTCTGAAGCGTGATGAGCTGCTGCACAGGTGATTCAACCACTGAAACAGGTGTGTTGGAGAAGAGAAACTAGCAAAACATGCTGGATACCGGCTCTTCAGGACCAGGAGTGATCTGGACTCACAGCGCACCAGGACTTCTTTTGAGCAGAGCTAGTGTGCTTCAGGCAGCTGGCCACAGAAACGTTCTCAAAGTGGAACCACCAACACACCATCATTCCCAGCTTTAGGCACCTTCATGCCCAGGGCCTCAGCAGTTATTATCTGGCCCTGATGGAGGCGATCAGTCAGATGGGTTAGCCCTTCAGCCTCAAGTTGTCCAAGGTCCTCCTTAAGTTGTGGGTCCATGTCACTTGACGGTTTCTTACACAGAGGTTCCTGAGAGGTCAAAGGTCATCCAACTGTCAGGTTGCCCCAGACTCAGTTTAGGTTTAAAAACAAATCTGTTCAAATCCAGAAGAAGAGAAACATTTTTCTGTGAAACAGGGATGAAGAAGAGCAGAGCAGCTCCTGAGAGGAAGATCTGTGATCAAAGCTGCTGCTTCATGCTGTTTCTGAGAACTTCCACATTCATCAGACCTTCCCTGAATAACTTCAGTCTGTGGCTTCGTTCTGCTGAAGCACGAAACGTTTGTGGTCAAAACGCCGTCTCAGAAGCTCTGAGCGACGCCCGGCTGAAGGAAGCAGGAACAAGAAACCTTTAACTTCATTCATGTCCTGATCTGAGAATCGTTTCAGCTCCTTCATCAAGTTTCAGTAGGAGCCTGAAACCGAAAGAGGCTCTAGAAACAAAGACGTTTGAATGTTTGAGGTTTTTATTTACCTGAGCACAGCTCAGCCCGTTTTTACTTCCTCTCTTTTAAATTTAGGCCAAACTTTCAGAGACTTCATCACTTCCTCTTTTTCTCTGCCGCTTCCACTTCGCAGCCACAAACCGTCAAGCTGGCAGTTTTCATTCTAATGGTGTTGTTTCTTATTTATAGTCGCGCTTCACCACCTTTGTTTCTGCTTCTCAGACTAATCGGAGTAAAATAGCAAAGCTGATATTTTACTTCATGGCTGAAACTGGATCATCAGTGATGTGGATCCAAACGTGGACAAACTCGAGCTCACCAAGCCTCTAAAAACCAGAAGTTCCAGAGCAGCTTTTATGGTTTTAAACCTAAAATAACCCGGAGGTGAAATCAGCTGTTTAAACTAGCTTTAAAAAAGATAAAGGAAGGCTGTATTTATCCGGGGGGAGGGGGGGTCCTGCCCCCCCCCCCAGGCCTGAATACATAATAAAATCAAACTGACTTCCTGATAGAATTCGCTTTTATTTTCTGCTTTATTGATGCCTTTTGTTTAATATTCAGGTAAATAATCCTACATAAAATATTGAATGCAAAATTTTTTTTGATTTGTGTCTTAATTGATTTTACAAAAATAAAGTTGAAATGAAAATAATAGATTTGAGGTCACTTTCTGTATTAAATACATTTTACATGAATGCTTTCATAAAAAAGGGAAAATAATGAAATACAAGCTCACAGCAGTTATTTAGTTATAGAATCAGACGCATGGGGATGTTTCAGAGGAGAATTTTATTTTGAAAATCCCAGTTTTAATGAGGAAAATTCCTTTATTTTCTCTAAAAACTCTAATAAAATCCTTATTTAGTCTTGAATAAATATTAAAGTGGGATTATTTTGTTACTAGAGGTTGATCAGAAAATGCGTGAAGCATTTTTTCCTGTTTTCAGGGTCCTTTTGGGAACGTTTTCCCTCTGATCCCTGTGGGAAGCTAATGTTGTTCCCTGTCTTGACAGAATGGGGAACTTAATAAAGGTGTTAACCAGAGACATCGACAACAACGCTGGAAACTTCTTCCTGGATTTTGAAAGTAAGGCTGGAAGTGGGTCTGATCTCTGGGAATTTGCTGCTTCCTGTCAAACGGAATTCAGTTTGGTGATTTCAGAGGTTTGACTAAATAAACGTGGATTTCTGTGGTCGTGTTCTCAGATGCACAGCCTTCGGAGTCGGAGACGGCCATGTGGGAGGAGGTGAACCAGGTTCTGATGGAGGCCCAGGTCATCCTGGAAGACCTGCAGACGTACAGAGGAGCTGGAGAGGAGATCCGACAGGTGACATGGATGCTTTAACAGCTGAGCTGAGGGTTACCTCTGTATGGAAACCAAAGATGTGCTAAATCAGGGTTAAACATTAAAATGAGTCGACGTTTATTTTATTCATCCTGATGACTAAAACAATAATCCTCCTGTCTGGGCTTTTATTGTGAAAACACATTGTAGGTTCTCTGGTGTCTGTGTGTGTGTGTGTGTGCGTACGTGCAGGCCATCCAGAACCCTAACGTGGAGTGTGTCCAGGAGAAGGCCTGGTCCGCTGTGGTTCCTCTGGTCGCTAAACTCAAAACCTTCTATGAGTTCACACAGAAGCTAGGTGAGTTCATGGTTCTGACCCGGACCAGAACTCCTGAACGGTCATCCCCCCAGCCCTTCCCCAATCAGCAGGACCAGAAGCTGTTCTGGATCAGGGCATCAGCAGCTTGTTCCATCAGTTTCAGTCCAGAACCAGATCTAGAACCAGAACCAGAACCAGCTCAGATGATAACTAAATGAGTTCTTTGTCCACCAGAGTCCAGTCTGCAGTGTCTCCTGAAGGTCCTCACCAGCTCTGGATCCACTCCAACTCAACATCTGGAGTCCAAACAGGCGCTGGCCCGGCAGTTCGCCCACATCCTGCACTTCACGCTGCGCTTTGACGAGCTGAAGGTGTCCTCCTGTCCATGTCCTCCTCTCTGTTCTCCTTTTTGTCCTCCTATCCCTGTCCTCTTTGTGGTTCTCCTGTCCATGTCCCCGGCTCCTCCTCCTCACCCCTCCCGTTTCATTCCCAGATGACCAACCCAGCCATCCAGAACGACTTCAGCTACTACCGCAGGACCATCAGCCGGATGCGGATAAACAACCTGTCGGTGAGGCACCACACAAAGAACAGGCTCCGCCCACATGTAAAGCCCCGAGATTCTCTGATCCCAGATCAGTTTGTAATGAATCTGCTTCGAAAGCTTCTGGTTTTTGTTTCATCAAACGTTTCATTCCTTCTTATGAAAGACCTGATGGACCTCACCTGGTTTCTGCTGGGTCGCTTATGATGATGTCACAACAAAGAATCATTCACATCAAATATAGATTTTAAAACATTAATAATAATAATAAAATGTGTTCGTTTTCTTTAGTCCGACTCCGGGAACGAGGTCAACAATGAGCTGGCCAATCGGATGTCTCTGTTTTACGCCACCGCCACGCCCATGCTGAAGACGCTGAGCGACGCCACGTCCAAGTTCGTGTCAGACGTGAGTTCACTTCCTGTTTCTAGATGAGTCGGAGCTGGAAGAAGATTACTTTTCACTAACTGGGACGGAAATAAAAACAAATCGTCTGCAGGCTTCATTTATCTTTCCCCGACCTTTCGTTTCACACTGTAAACGTTTTAGCTCAACTCTTTGTGGGATCTAGTAGTAAATAAAACACGTTTTAACTTAAACTAAGCAGCTTTTTTATTTACGACTAATCTGTTTCACAGATTTAACACAAACCTTTTAGCTAAAACAATCGGTAAAGTGTTTTTAATCCTACTTAAAATAAAGTTTCTGAAGTTTGTCCTCCTGAATCCTGCTGCTGTTTATCGTCCATCGGAGCAGCAGCTTAGGATAAAACATTTGTAATATTTAACCTCTTCATTTTGTTTTACTTCATCATAAATAGATTTTTGAATCTGACCTTTAACCTTTGGCCTCTGCTCCTATAATTAGTTAAAACTCTTAAAAGTGCAAAGTAAATAAAAACATCACAATAATGACACTCTTCCACACGAGACAATCCAAAAAATAAAAAAAATCCCATAATTCTGTAAGTTACACGTCTAATAAACAGCATAAACTGCAGTTATGTTCCAGGTCAACAGCAAAAACGTTTGTTTCTAATTATGTTTAGTTTTACTGCAACGCAACGTTTGGCCAGTAGGGGGCAACAGAAAACCATTAGATCCCACCAGCAGAGGGCAAAACACTCCAGCTGATCATAACCGAAATGTTCGGATTGTGTGATTTGAACGAATCTTAATTGTTCTGATGTTTAGAACACACAAGTCCCCATCGAAAACACGACAGACTGCTTGAGCACGATGGCCTGCGTCTGCAAAGTCATGCTGGAAACGCCGTGAGTCCTGAACAGATTGTCTTTACAGCTCACCTGTGACACAGTACAAACTCTAACCGTGTGTGTGTGTGTGTAGGGAGTATCGCAGTCGCTTCACCAGTGAGGAGACGGTGTTGTTCTGTCTTCGTGTGATGGTTGGAGTCATCATCTTGTACGACCACGTTCACCCAGCTGGAGCCTTCGTTAAAACCTCAAACATCGATGTAGGTGACCCAGAAAAACCGCCGTCGGCATCCGGTCTCACTTGTCTGTTCTCACCTGTCTGGCCTCACCTGGAAGGTTCAGAAACAAAACAACTGGATCCCGTTACCTCCAAACGTACCCGTCTGATTTTGAGCCGGTGTGTTATTTCACATCAAACCCGTAACCAACCAATCTCTCCCAGCCCTGAACCTGTGGTAACACCCCCCCACCACCACTCAGTGGACCCAGACCAGCTGTGTTAAACTCTTCTTGTAGTAAACTCCTCACATCCACACAGGAGTGGGTTTAATCCCAACCCTAATCTGTAATCCACGGCTTCAGGTGGGTGAGGACAGCTAACGTCTCTCTGGAGGGTCAGGGTTGGATCTGGAAGCAAGCTTTCTCTCCAGAGTTCTGATTGATGAGAGTCCAAACATCTGCAGGTGGAGAGGTCCAGCTGTCCTGTTCCTGAACCTTCTGGGACCCGTGGAGAGTTCTGACCCGATGAGAGGAACCTGCAGCGGTTCCTGTAGAACCTGATCAGAACTTTAGTGGATTTGTTGTCCTAATGAGTTTGTCTGCTTTAGATGAAAGGCTGCATCAGAGTTCTGAAGGAGCAGCCGCCCAGCAGCGTGGAGGGTCTGCTCAACGCTCTCAGGTATACACACACACACACACACACACACACACACACACACACACACACACACACACACACACACACACACACACACACACACACACACACACACACAGCAGGTAACCAAGGCTTTAACCCCCCCCCCCCCCCCCCAGGTACACCACCAAACATCTGAACGACGAGACTACCTCCAAGCAGATCAAAATGCTGCTGCAGTGATGTGAAGCGGTGGACCGGAACGCCGCCGCTGAGGGAGAAGTGTTATGGTCTGAATGTCCGAAGAACTACTGAACAAACTTTCAGCTCTTTTTAAGCCTCCTGACTGTTTTACTGTTATTTTAGAAAAACGTTTTCTTGTTTAAAAGTTGAAACCAAGCCTGTGGAAGATAATTACAGGATGATCTCCTGCCCCCTGGTGGACAGGTTTAATAATACAGTTCTAGCGACTAAGCCTAAACCTCAAACTTAGTTTAACTGATTTTTTGTCACAATCTGGGAACAAACGATGATTTAGTATTTCACAGCTCCAAAGAACTGTTGGATGTTCTCATGTCAGACGGTGTTGCCTGTAGAGCTACGCTCTAAAACCGGAACAGCGCTCTGACCTGAGGATCGTCTCAGGGTCCAGTCATCAGACTAGAAACCAAACGTTTGACCTTTTCTGTTTTACCGACTGAACTGTGACAAGAGGTTCTGAAGTGACTGATGCTTTTATGTTCTGTTGGAACAGCTGACTGGAAATGTTCAGAAGCTTTGATTTGTGCTGTATGTGGATGTTGCCGTGTCAGGGACTGAATGCATTCATCGTTTTTACATGATGTGTTTTAGCAAAATAAAGTTTTTACATTTTTAACAGTCAGTCATTCAGTTTATGGAAGAAACAATCAAACACCTAAAACCTACACTCAGACGTAACATCTGCAGCAACATCTGCACAGCTCCATCTCCACAGTCCAGAGGCCTGCTGGACACAGACCTGCAGCAGCAGCTCGTACGTGATGTGTGAAATAATCCACCGTCAGGGGCGTGTCCAGGGAGTGGCCCGGGGTAGCACATGCCACCCTTGGAATCTGACTGGCCACCCCAGGTGACACCACACTGAATTCCCTTTAAATAGGATTTTCATTGTCCACAAAAGGCTTGAGGTAAAACAAAAAAGCATAATCACTGGTGCCACATATGCACAAAGTAATGCCTCACCTGGGCCACCCCATTTTAAAAGATCTGGACACGCCACTGTCCACCGTCTCAACCGGAGGACATGGATGCGCACACAGAACCCGCACAGCTGGTACCATCGGGAGCAGTAGACTTCCTGTCTCACTCCAACAGGAAGTAGATCGTCTCCATAGAAACACATCAAATTGCTGCTTTTTCCCCTATAAATGACATTTGATAACAACAATACACATATATCCCATAATAGCTGGAATCTGTTTTGTGTCAGCTGGGTCTAAAACCCAGTGGCGGATTTAGCAATTTGGGGGCCGAAGGCGAACACAGACATGGGGACCCTTACACTAAATTATCGACAATCTTACCTTTAACTGGATTTGCGAAACTCTCCCCTCTTCTGACATGAGTTGTTTTCCCTTTTTATTTGTCCTCCTCTTTTTTCCTGTTTTCCCTCCCTTTGAGCACTTTCAATATTTGCTCTGCTTTCTTTTTCCTATCAGTGCTCCTGTGCTTTTGTCTTTGTTTTTTTTCTATTTTCCATTTTGGTCTATGTTTTCCTCCCTTTAAACATTTTCCATTGTCTTTCCTTTCTGCTTTCTTTTGATGTTTACATCAAAAAATGACATCACTTTCAGAAGTGAAAATAAAAGCTTTTATGAAGTATGCTGCTACTTTCTCTTATTGGAGCCACTATAACTCCATGTCATGCTTAATGTTTTGACTGTCGCTTTGAGTTTGTTACGAACGTTCCCACCTCTCTTCTTTTTCTGCTTTTCCCTTCTTATTCTTATTTGTGGTCTTATGGCACGTGGCAAACAACAATTTGGTGTATTACCGCCACCAACTGGATTGGAGTGGAATAACTACCAATCACTTCCTGTTTGTGCATAACCCTCTCATGACCATAATTATAACAGGGCTGCCTGGTATTTTTTTATATTATGGCTGTAAAATTGTAATAAAAATTGCAAAGTGTGTGTAACTCTTCTCCATTTTCAGAAGAACCTCAGCTTTCAGTGTATGGTTTGTATTTAGAATTTATTTCTATTAAAGCCTTTAAAAAATCAGCTTAAAAGTGAAAAAAGCAAAAAATGGATTTGGATTTTTTACATTTAATATTGAACAGGAACTTCAAAATGACTTGGACAAACAATTTGGAATGAACTATTTAAACTTTGAACTGTAATGTATCAAAAAAGTGTGAACCTTGACATCTTTATTTAGCAGTTTTAAGACAATTTTTTGGTAAACTTTCAAACGTTTTTATTTGATGTGGTAGGCCTTGAAGCAGTTTCTCTCCAGCTGCAGGCAGAGTCCTGCACACCTCACACTGCCATGGGGTGCTTCTCTTACACACCGTGCACTGCTATACCAAAAACTTTTGTTTTAGCAAAAATAATTATTTATTGTAAAAAGATAAATAATGCTGGAATGAAGCTGAATCTTACAATTAGCAAATAGTTGAGGGTTTTTCAAATAAAAAAATAAAAAATAAAGACTGAACAAACGTTCATACCCTGGTTCACTGGAGATCTGTCCTTCTTCGTGGTCACTATCTTCAGATATGTGCCTTCTGGGACACCTAATAGATCGTGTTGATTTTCTTTGAGGCATTTCCATAATTTCATTTCATTTTGATGCTAATTAGCTTCCCCGTTCCGTTATCCGCTTTCACCGCGGCGCTGCGCTCCGCTGTGCTCCGTTTCAATCAGGCAGCAGGATTTCCCCTCGTAGCGATATTTTCCATAACTCTGATTGCTTTATGCCATAGATCGTTGGAAAGCTGCTTTTATGTACTTTTAGGAACCGTTGGAATTTTTAAAATCTGATCAGCCATCAAAAGTTATAAAATGGAGCATTTTGGACGACAAACAGCACGTCTCTGAATCTGTGTTGTGATTCATTGAGCTCAAGACGGAATGCCGTGGCTACCGTAATGTATTGTATATGCACGAAAAGCCCCATTTTTAATCTTTTCAGCACTTTTGGAATTTAAATGATATCTTGAATGGTTCAGGAATTATGGTAATGAGAAGTGCGCATGTCCAATCCCATAGGTGGCGACAGGTTGGTAATAAGAATATTGTGGCATTAACAGAGGGGTGCTGGCGGTCAGGGCTAGGGGGTCCCCAACACAAGGGGGCCCCAGGCGGCCGCCGACCTATGCCTAATGGTATAACCGCCACTGCTAAAACCAACCAGCAGAACTGCATTAGCAATGTTTTCACTACCAGAACTTCAGAGTAGATGTACACGAACCTCCCGACACGCGCATCTCCACCTGACCGGGCCGACCGAACGACCGTTCGCAGGAACCTTCTGACTACCCGCTCGGGGGTAGGTACTCCGAACGGCCCGGTGGAGTAGCTGAGCGGACCCTTAGGTTAACTCACACTGATGGGTTTTAACTGAGTAGGAAGTGACATCAGCAGACATCCAAAACAACCGGCATTAACAACATTAGAAGAGTTGTTGGTGAAGCAGACTGAAAGAAAAAGAAAATAAACACCGATGGCGTTTAATGTCTAACTCTTGACACCAAAAAACACGGGAATTCCCCCACAGACTTAACGGGGCTTGTTCTCTCAGAGCGCTGTAAAAAATGGCACCTCTTCTGGTCATTGAACACCCAATTTACATCACACAGCTGTGCTCGTCTGAATGGATTAAATTATGAGGAACTTCTACAGAATAAATGCTAAGATTATTACTGTGGACTCTTGTTGGCGCTGATCAGTGACATCACTCCCCGCCAAAGCAGTCTCGATATGCTGATGCCTGTGCAAGTTCTGACACGGCTGAATTTGAATGGAGACACAACTGCTGAGAGGACTGGGACATCCTATCTTCTGGTCAAGTTCCCCATTCCAGGAACTACGCTGGGCTTCTGGTAATGGAAACAGGGCTATTGCGGACATGTTGGGTTGTGTGTAACCAAACTGGTCCCAGTTCACTAAACCATCATGTTTATGTTTATGTATTTAGCAGACGCTTTTGTCCAAAGCGACTTACAAGTTAAAATTGGCATGTTGCCCTTGAGGCTAACAACAACAGTAACAACAACAACAACAAACAATTTCCAGTCAGTCGTAGGTGGCAGTGAGGCAGCATGATGAATCATGGAGAGGTGGGAACAAGGAGTGGACAGTAGAGAGGGGGACGGGTGCAGGAAGGGTGCTAGTTTAGAAGATGTTCTCTGAAGAGCAGGGTCTTCAGGAGTTTCTTGAAAGTTGAAAAGGAAGCCCCTGTTTTTGTAGTGCTTGGTAGGTCATTCCACATCTGTGGAACGATGCATGAGAAGAGTCTGGATTGACCTGAGCGTGGTGTAGGCACTGCTAGCCGACGATCCTGTGATGACCGGAGCGGCTGGACCGAGACGTAAGCCTTTGCAACCATCTCGGACTTTGTAAGCTAGTGTTAGCAATTTGAATTTGATGCGTGCTGTTAGCGGTAGCCAGTGGATCTCAATGAACAGAGGGGTGACATGTGCTCTTTTTGGCTGATTGAAGACCAGACGCGCCGCTGCGTTCTGGACCATTTGAAGAGGTCTCACAGTACAGGCTGGAAGACCAGTTAGAAGGGCATAGCAGTAATCGAGGCGGGAGATGACAATAGATTGTACCAGGAGCTGGGTGGCATGTTGTGTTAGGTATGGTCTGATATTTCATATGTTATACAGTGCAAAGCATGCAGATGCATCTTATGTGTTCTTGCTGTGTTGTGGTTCTAATTCCATGCTTTCGTTCTTTTTAAAACACAGAAACAGTAACTGTTTCTGTGTTTTAAAAAGAACGAAAGCATGGATGCAGATGCACGCTTTAGATCAGCATGATCACATTTATGTTCCTGCTGCTGGTCATATTAGTGTCATTGATGCTTTCATTACTATTTAGCCAATTAAATAACGATTAGCTAAAACTGCTCCTACTGCTTACCCTGTTGGTGTAATTCAGCTGGTGTCCACTAGAGGGCAGAAGAAACACGTGGATGTGGTTTTCATCCAGGTTTCCTTGCCAAAATCAGCTGTTGGTTATTTATAGGATGTGTTTATTTATATTTACTGGAAGAAGAAAACACAGATCTGTTACTAAACCAGATCTGGCAGCAGAAGCTGGTATTAGGCTGATGATACACTAAAACTGGGTCTAACCTGGGAGGTTCTGGAGGACGTGATGCAGATAAACGCACACGTCGGATCTCTGAAGCTGCTTTAGATCCTGCTGAAGATCTCCTGATTCAAACAGGGATTAGCTGATTAACACAGGCGAGTCGGTGAATCTGCAGAACCCGAGAACCCGCTGAGGCGGTGATGTCGGATCAAGTGACCCATGGTGGAGCTGCAGAACTAGAACCAGAACCAGACTCTCGGTTACCTGATGGAAACTCAAAGTCTTAACAGTTCTAGTTGGAATGAGACAGAAACGGTGTGTTGGAGATTTTAGACCTGCTTTGGGTCACGGGGTCCGATGGCATGGGGCTTGTGTCTTAATTATGTCAGTTTAGTCTCCAACTCCTCCTAAAGTGGTCTCAGTAACTAGACCGAGCCCAGGTCCAGGTCTCCTCGTCTGAGAGAAACATTTGAAACTTCCAGCCACAGGAGAGTGGGGCCCAGAGACTCTGGTGAGGACACAATAACACTTGGAGATGCGTTAGAAACGTCCTCATGAATGCTGCCACCTTCAGCAGCTCAGAGGGTTAAAACCAACCAGACCTATGAGGACACCAGTTTTCAGGACACCTGAAACCCCTCAGGAGTAGAACAGACAAAAGAATAAAGGTCTTTACCACGAGCTGACCCTTTGAAGCTGGACCTCTGACTCGTTGTCTTCTTGTGGACATCAGGACATGGACTCTTTGTCCCTGTGGGGTTCTGTGTGGGACAGCAGCTGGCAGGACCGCGCCTTCTCCCACGCGTGAGTCGATCGGTGAGCATTTAAGCTGCTGTCATGGTTAAAACTTTTCCCACATTCTCCACTGGAATACGGCGTCTCTCCTGAGTGAATAAGCATGTGGCACTTCAGCGTTGCCTTGTAGGTCAGAGATTTCCCACAGGTGTTACAGACGAACGGCGTCACGCCCAGGTGCGTCCTCAGGTGGATGGTCAGACTGCTGTTGAGGCTGAAACGATTTCCGCAGGTCTGGCAGGAATACGGCAGCTCTCCTGTGTGAGTCACAGCGTGTTTCCTCAGCGTGGACAGGTCGGTAAATCTTTTCCTGCCGGTGTTGCACAGGTGGGGCTTCTCACCTGTGTGGATTTTTCTGTGTGTAATCTGTTGGGTATTTCTTACAGGTTGAACTTTGTTGCAGCTGCTTTAATTTTGTTACAGGTTGTTCCTTTCCTTTTACAGCCTTTTATGAAGGTTGCTGATTCTTTTGTGGTCTTCTGTGTGTTAGAGGTTGATTCTTGTATTACACTTAATCGTAGTTTTGTTGTTATTATTTTATTCTGTTACTCATAGAAGATGACCTCTGTTTCCACAGGGAGGATTGTTAAGGTTATTAAACTCTCCTGACTGTTTAGCATCTTACTTGAAGTTCAGTTGATAGTGATAGTTGTTTAAGATGAACTCCGTTTGAAACAGGGAGGAATGTTGGATAAAAACTGATTTTCACCTCACCTTGTTAATAATTGTCTGATGTGTGGATTCTTTCAAACAGAGTTCATCACTCTTATTTGCATTTAAACTGGTGCAGGAAGGATGACCTCGCTTGAGTACTTTCTATCTCCAGACCAAATGTGTGCTTCTCTTGGTTGACTGTCTGTGAATGCATTACATAATATGGTTAAGCAGTTGTTACTACTGTTGGGTAAATACAGTATTGGATGCATGGAAAATGATTCTGTCTGGGTACCATCTGGTGTTTTTAAATTCAAACGCAGGTTCAGTCCTTGTTCATATTTTGTTATTCTTCTTTGGCTCCGGCAGGGAAGTTCAACCTTGTAAGTCTGACAATAACCTCCCTAGTTACGTCCAGACGGAGCGTTTCTCTGTTATACCAAGGACCTGGGAAAGTTTGTTTTCTGTGAAGGGAGTGGGTGTTTACCTTTTATGTGTGTGTGCTGTGTTACTTGTGAATTAAACCTTTTTGAGAGCTTCGGCTCGATGAGAGACTAAACAGACATCCCCATTGGTGTGTATCTTTATTTCTCTCCGGTTTTGCAAAATCTGGTTGTTGATTATTGGTGTATATTGGTAAATGGTATTGATAAAACTAATATCTCTAACCTCCTTGCAAGTGTTGGACCTTCTTTGAGGTACGCCTGGATTGATTGAATAAAAATACCCAACATTTTAGTGCCGAAACCCGGGAGAGCAGAGCCTTTCGGTGGGAGATCGCCTCCGTTATAATTGGCTCAAGGGCCAAAACTGTTCTAAATTCACCATTTGTCGTTCTGTGGTCTGTGTTTTCTTGGTTTTGTGGGCTGCGTCCCATTTCGGGTTGTGCAGGCTTGCCTGATTTCCGTGGTTCTGTGGTGTTGTTATTGTTTGTTGCTGGTATCTGAAATATTGGTGTCGGCTGTCCCATTGCGGACATTGTATTTCTGTGTTGTATTGTGGTGTTAAATCTGTGCCAAAGTGCTAAAAACCCGGCTGTGAACTTTGTTTCAGCTGCCGACCCATTGTGTCTCTGTGTGTGAAAAACCTGCAAGTTCGTTTCTGTTCTGTTCTGTCGTGTTCTGTTCTGTGGATGTATGAGAAAGTATGAATTAAGAGGTGCTGAAAGAAAAAAATAAGCAAGTGTGAGATTGTTCGCCTAAAGTTCTGGGACGTTGAGTTTTTCTGGTAGTGTGTGTGTGTGTGGAGGTGTGCGTGAACCGGTGACTTTGAGAGCCTTACATCGTGTGTGTGTGTGTCCCTGCTCTGAGTGTGTGGAAGACAGGAATGGAGGATTGTTGATTTGCTTCAGTGGCTGCCAAATGTTATCTGAAAAAATAATTTTAACATACGCCCTTATCTGCAGTTTAATTGTATTTCTGACAATTTTTGCATTAGAACTCCTTGGCGTGCTCCCAGCCTGTTTTACTAAATAAGTAAACAAAACAACTTAGATAGAATGGGGAATACCGCTTCTAAAGACAAACTGGAGGGAGATATGAAATATATGTCTCATAAACACCCTGATAGCTTAAAATTTATGGAAAAATGGCGCAAAAAGTACAAAGTCGATGGGAGGCTGGAAGGTGAACAATGGCAGGATTTAGTCAGCATTTACACACTTAAAGTTGCAGCAGCCACTGGCAAAAAGAAATTAGCCAAGGAAGAACAGTTGAAGTTAGCTATGATATGGTGAGATGAGATAGAAAAGAGACTGAGAGATATCCCAAAAAGAGAAAAAGAAAGAAGAAAGTGAAGCAGGGAAAAATGTATCCGTCCTAAGTAAACTAACTCCTTCAGCTCTGCCGGCTGAATGGATGCACCCGTTTAAACCCAGAGAACAGTCAGAGAAGTGGGTCTCAGATATGATGGAGGTGATTCACTCCCACCGCTTAATTGGCCAAGGATTAGATCAGCTGGCTCAAGTGAGCCTTCTAAAACCTCCCGCGACTGTCATGGCTCGAGGTAAGTGCCTAACCCAAGACATGCAGTATCATCACACAAGTCCAAAGTAGTAAAGTAAAAATGTCTTTATTATAAACGGTAACTGAAAACTGCAACAGGGAAGTCCTGTGCTGAGGAGCCAAGACGGCTCGAGTCTTTGAGGTGTTCAGGTTGAATGATGAGGGGAAGGGAAGCCGGGAAGGACGCTGAGCAGTGGGTGAGAGATTTCGTAGGAGTGAGGCAGCAGAGGGAAATCCGAGCAGGAACGGCGGAGGAGGACGAGACGTGTTGAATAATCCAGAAGTGAAGACAGCGAGGGTGAGAAGATGACGAGGTGATCCTGAGCGAGACAAACAGGTGTAAGGGATAATCCAAATCCAAATCCGAAAATACAATCCAAGGTCAATAATCCAAAAGTCGAAGGCGAGTCAAAACACGAGTTAACAAGTTTCAAGGCGAGTGGCTGGTGCTACCTGAACTGGTACAATCATCCGGCGAAATGAAGTGTCTCTGTCCTCCTTTTAAACCCGCGTTCCTGATTAGAGAATCGTCTGCAGCTGTAGTTCCCTCTGCTCCCCACCTGCGGAGAATGAACTCAGATTTTGATGAGAGGAGATGGTGGAACTCACCTCTGCTCAGGGAAATGACAGCGACTGGACAAATGACTAAAGACTAAAACCACAGTTTGACATTTTGGAATCTCCTAATTTAACCCAGTTAACAACTATTAAACAAAAGACTGGTGAGTCCGTGGATGACTTCCGTGCCAGATACCAAAAACAATTTAACCTCCATAGTACCCTCATGCCCGACGCAGATAAAGATGGACCTTATGTCCGGCTGTTATGGGCAGATTTGTTGAAAGGTTTCCTGCCTGCAATTGCTGAACAAATCAAAACTCACTACATTCTCTGGGAAACCTGCAATGTTGAAGAACTGATGTTGTATGCCAGATATGCAGAAAAGGTCATCCAGGGAAAAACTAAAAAGCCAAAAAACCCCAAATCAACCCCACAACGCCCCCCTGACAAAAAGGGAAATAGGAGGAAAAATTCTAAACGGAGGCAGAGGCATGGTACAATTCACAAGCCCGATCACAGCAGTCCGTTTGCTGGACCTGTGAAGGTCAAGGTCACATCTCACGCGATTGCCCCTCCAATTAAACCAGATCCCTGAACTATTTTGGTCTACAGGCCCTCTTTTTGAGCTCTATCTCTCCCGTGCAGATCTAACCAAACTCCCAGTTTAGGCCCAGAATTAAACAATTATTTAAACAATACTCTTTTTCAGTGTTCCTGTTCATCCTAACTCACAATTTCTTTTTGGTTTGCTTTCAGCTACAAAATTTAGAGCTGAACTTACAAAAGTTGTACCCCACAAAATCCCACTATTACCTAAACAATCAATAATTGTCTCGCTGACTTTCAATGTTCAGCCAATTTTCTAAGATCCTTGTTTATGTGGATGATGGTTTGATTGCATCTGACGGTGCAGAACCTACCCTGGGACACAATGACAGAAGCTAGGCTGCCGTACACAGGTGCCACTGGTCCCTCCGACCACTTCTAGCAGGTAGGGATTGTGAAGTGTCTTGCCCAAAGACACAACTGTGACAGACTGAGCAGGATGCAAACTTGCAACCCTGTGATTTTAAGGAGGTGACTTCACCCCACTGCAACCATCATAAATGGCTAAAATATTTACAAAGATGTTCATAGAACAGACTGCTGGAGGACATACTGGGTTATCCAGGTTCACCCCTTTAGTTGTGCTGCAGCAGTAGGCTTAGACTGCTGGAGGACATACTGACCACACTGCTACTTTCTTCTACCACTTCTCTTTAATTGAATTATTTCCTGTTACTTTAGTAGTTAACTTAAATGTTTTTCTCAAGCCTGGTGTATGCTTCTGCATCAGCTCCACCAGGGAGAGACACGCATGGATAGACGGAAGCGTTTTGCCTTCAGACTTCTCCGTCTCCTGAGGAGTGTTGCAAAGCACTTCCCCTCCAGGACAGCAGAGGGCACAGCGCTTATCTGTGGTATCCTGTCATGTACGCAGTCCAAGATTGTGCATTTACTATTGTGTTTATATTGTTTTTTTGTATTTCAGAGACTTTTTGAACACAGACAAATTTGTCCCTCATTCTCCTCCACCTCTTCATGCGCTCACCACCTCTAAACCTACATTTTCCATCATTTCCATCCACGTGTGACAGTGTGAGTGTCCTGTCACAGTGTCCCAATTGATCATGCGCCCTGGCTACTTGGCCAAGGGGATGTCCCTTTGGCTGACTGGTTAAAGCGTACGACTCTCACCCGGGAGTCTGGGGATCGAATCCCGCCCGGGCCCTCGTTTATCCACCTTGCCACACACGAATCAAATGCTTGCTGTGATCTTTTCAATCCTTAAGTCAGTGTTACAATGCGGGAGGATCATTGAATGTTATTTGGAGTGGTGGTGAGAGCGATGGTCGAAGAAGGTGAAGATGGCTGGGGTGTAAACCATCATGTCTGTGAAAGGGAATTCACCATACAATAGATACATATCTATGGGACTGCACAGCATACTGGATGTTAGCAGTTAGCATGCTTGAGCCATGTTGGTTAGGGTGAATACCATCTCACCTGAAAAAAACAGTTAAAAATGGGTAAAAAATATAGATGAAACAAAAACTGAGGGACCTGCAAGCAGACCGAATCCAGGACTGGAGAGAGAACAGACGGCTAAAACTTCCATATCCACGAGAAACTGTGGGGTTTAACCCCACACATACGTGAGGAGAACACGCTAACTCCACACATGCATGAGAACATGCTAACTCCATGCAGAAATGGTTGAGTCAGGACTTGAACCTGCAACCATCTTGCTGCGAGGCAACAATGCTACCAGCTGCATAACCACTCAGCCAAAACCCACAAGCTTCTAAATGATGGAGAAACCGGTTTCAGGTCCGACGATAACCTTGTTACACCAGCCGAAGTAAAAAAGGTGAAATATTTTAATAACGTCGCCTTTGGAGAAACGATTTTTCTGCAGTGACCATTCACCGGAAAGCGGTGGGATGGTGTTTGTACACACTCTGGGGGCAACTATCCTCATTCAGTATCTTGCTCAAGGGCACAAGGCCTATAGGGAACCGATCTCCCGACTCAGCCACGAGACCCAGGTGTGCTTCAACGGCTGCTTTGTCTCCAGGATTTGTTGTCGTCCAACCTACAAATGTAAAAACTAAAGTGTTAATACTGTGACAGTAAAGTATACTTAACCTTGTATTGGAACATCTCAGGCTTTGGCTTCAGCTGGAACGTTTCAGAGCTTCGTCTGGCCCTCAGGATGAACTTTCCATCCCAATAAGAATAATTATAATAACACAAAACAACAGAAACATTTTCTTTTTATCTCTTTAATTCTGAGGAAAAGTCTCATAAACTCACATTCTGTTTCAGCATCAACACGTTTCACAGGAACGTGAGAACTCGTTTTCAGCTTTTTCCTCTCAAACCGGGAAGAGTGTTTCTGCATTTGTTGGTTTTCGGATTATTTCTCTTCGTCCATGTGTCTCAGAGCGAAACCTTCTCACCTGTGGGAGTTTCCGCGTGAGCAGCTAAACGTCTCTTACGTGAAACCAGACTCCCATCTTCGTGGCTTCTCGTGTGGATTTTCAAATGCGACGAGCCTTTAAACGTCCTTCCACAGGTGTCGCAGGTGTAGGGGTTCTCACCTGTGTGGATTCTCATGTGGACAGTTAAGCTGCTGTTGTGCCTGAAACAGCCCCCGCACATTTCACAGGTGTAGGGCTTCTCACCTGTGTGGATCCTCATGTGGCTCGTCAGGCTGCTGCCGTCGGTGAAACTTTTCCCACATCTCCTGCAGGAGTAGGGCTTCTCCCCCGTGTGTGTCCTCATGTGTCTCTTCAGCTTGGACGAGTCTTTGAACCTTTTGTCGCAGGTGTCGCAGCCGTAGGGCTTCTCACCTGTGTGGGTTCTGGTGTGGAGCTTCAGCTTATCACGGCTTCTGAAGCTTTTGTCGCAAGTCTCACACGAGTATGGTTTTTCGTTGGAATGGATCTTCATGTGAAACCTGAAGGGTGTGCAGTAGCTGAAGCTCTTTCCACACATTTTGCAGAAGTACAGTTTCTCACCTGTGTGACTCCTCTCGTGATATTTCATTGAGCACACCTGATGGAATCTTTTACCACAGAAGGTACACACAAATGGTTTTTCACCAGTGTGGATCCGCTGATGAACCTTCATGTAGGACTTGGACCTAAAGACCTTCTTACAAACATCACACTCCACAGACTCTTCAGCTTTCTGGGTTCCTCCGGCTTTCTCTGAAGTCGATGAGCTTTTGACTTTTTTTTTAGGATTTTGGCTTTTTTTTTGTCTCGGCTTCGGTTCCATTTGCAGAGCTGGTTCAGAATCTCGCTGCTCACTTTGATCTGGAACCTCAACAGCAGGAGAATGGGGAGGGCATATCTGGTCACTAGTTGATGGTTCTGGTTCACTCTGGTCCTCATGGTCATTGGTCCCCATGAAGGTGTCAGATTCTTGTTCCAGAACCAACTGCTCCTCATCCTGGCTGTTGCAGGGATCCTCTTTAACCTGTGGAGGTTCTGGTTCCTCATTTTCCTCTTTAACCTGTGGAGGTTCTGGTTCCTCATGTTCCACTTTAACCTGTGGAGGTTCTGGTTCTTCATGTTCCTCTTTAACCTGTGGAGGTTCTGGTTCCTCATGTTCCTCTTTAACCTGTGGAGGTTCTGGTTTGCTCTGTTCCAAACTGAAAGTCCTCTCTTGATTGTAGAGCTGCTGGTCAGTCAGAACCTCCTCCTCCTTACAGGTACGTAGATGACCTGTGAGGAAAAGAGTAAGTAAGCTTTGGACACAGGAGTAGTGCTCCTGCCTCTCCCGCATTCTTTTCCTTTCCTTTTCTTTTCTGCTTCACTGTTTTTCCCACCAAAGTTTTCTGCTCAGTAACTACTGACCCCCTAGATCACCGGGACCATTCTCTGAAACTGACAAAAGAGTCAATAACAGCATTTTTGCTCTGACTTGACCTACAGCTTCTGCTTCCCTACGTGCTTCAGTGCCAACATTCAATTCAATTAAATTCAATTCAATTCAAAGATACTTTATTAATCTCAGAGGGAAATTAGAGTTTCAGTACACACAATTCTAAGATCAGACATACATACATGGACATAGACACATGACAAGAATTGGTGACTGTGGTCATTTGTAACCCGAGTCGCGCTACCTTAATAGAGATCAGAGGGTTTACATGAGGATTGGGTAAGGTGGAGGAAAAAAAGGCACTTCAGAGTTACCCTCCACAGGGAGGGCAGCTTTGCTATGCAAAAAACACCTCAGACAGAAATGCAACAGACTTCAGACATCACACAACATAAGTGTCCACTAGGTGGGAAGGTAGGGTTGGGGACTCTCCTCACATCAGTGCATGCAGCCGTGATGAGCAGCGCTCCTCACCTCCGTTTGGACAGGGGAGGGAGGTCGTTGGGTTTAGAAAGCACAGTGACTTCTGGAAACGGTTCCACGGCCTTCACCGGTTACAGTCCCGCCCAGGCTGGGATCGGGAGACAGAGTTGCCATGGCAACAGCAGCATTCTTTGTTTCAGTGCCAACATGTTCCGACATCAACTACCTTACAACATCTCTCTCCCTTCATTTCTTCGGAAGATTTTCATCAACGTCTTTAAAAGATCTGTCATTGAAACCAAACTTTCTCGACTAGAAGTCAACTTGGAGATAAATGATCCGTTTGGGGATGACGACACCCTCCCACCTACTCTGGTCGCTTTAGCCAAGGACACAATTTCTGATCTCACAGACAGAATACCTTCAATGCATTCTAAACACCCAGCAGCCAAAAACCTCATCATCCATATTAGCTCTAAGGATATGAGGATGAGGGAAACAGAGGCCTTTAAGTAGGATTTTACTGCTCTGCTGACATCACTCCCCTAAAAACCAAACTTGATTATCAGCGGCCCCCCAGCACCCGTGAGAAGAGGAATGGAACATTTTTCACGGCTCCATGCTTTCAACTCATGGCCCTCATCCACATGTAACAAAGAAAACATAATTTATTTAGACAATTTCATCTTCTTTAGGGATCGTAGAAACGACTTCCTGTCGGACGGATTTCGTCTGAAGAAGACCGGAGTTAGACTATTCAACTCAAATCTAGCACACATGTTGCATGTTTCTTGTTCTTCCCCCACATTCATCAAGAAGAAACACGAGGATCAAGTTAAGGAGCCAGCACTACGTTTCATTCCTCTGGAACCTCTACGTCACACCCGCCGAGACACAGACCCCCAGATAACACCCAGAATGTTCCCAAACAACGAGGTTGTCAATACGGCTCACAGCGCCACACAAGCCTTTTTCTCACAAGTCATCAGTGATAATATTAACAGTTTCCATGTTCTGTTTGCTACAGTCGAGAGGCTAACTAACCTCCCAGCACAGTGAGCCCCGGACTTCATATCTCAGACCAGATGTGATGAGTTTGCATCTTTCTTCAATGAAATAATCACAAACATTAGATCAGCCATTCATTCCTCTACATCAACTAACACAACCCCACCACTGACACAGCCACACAGCAACAACCTGGCCAGAACGCCAACTATCACCCTGATTAGTACTAAAACACTGAATGACGTAGTAAAGACCCTAAATTCCTCTACCTGCTGTCTGGACAGCCTGCCTACAAACTAAAATGTTTCTAGTTGCCTAAAAGCTGAGGAACTGGACACTGTTATCTGCTCTTTAACATCAGGTCTTTTTCCTAAACCACTGAAAACTGCTGCTGTGAAACTTTCTACAGAAGAGGAAACTAGATCCTCAGTGTTGAACAACTACTGACCGATCTCTAATCTCCCTCTGATGGAAACATCATTGAAAGAAGGTAATGATCCCAATAAACAACTATTTAGAGTCAAATAACATTATGGACGGTCTTCAGTCAGGCTGTAGACAGCACCACAGCACAGAGACTGCACTGATCAAGGTAATAAACAACCTTCGTCTCAACACTGATTCAGGTAAAGCATCTGTCCTGATGATGCCTGACCTCAGTGCAGCTTTTGACACTGTGGACCACAACGTCATTCTGGACAGACTCACAAAGTGGGTGGGACTATCAGGCACAGTGCTTGGCTGGTTCCAGTCCTATCTCAAAGACAGGGGCAATGTTGTCTCTATTAGGGACTACCAATCAAAGCGGATCACCGTGACATGTGGGGTCCCCCAAGGCTCAACTCTAGGACCAGTACTCTTTAATCTCTATATGCTGCCCCTGGGTCAGGTCATACTTAATAACAACATCTCCTATCATAGCTATGCTGATGACACCCAGATCTACCTAGCCCTATCACCTACTGACTGTCGTCCTCTGGACTCACTCTGTCAGTGCCCAGAACAAGTAAACGACTGGATGCAGTCAAACTTTCTTCAGCTAAACAAAGACAAGACTGAAGTTATTGTCTTTGGCAACAAGAAGGATAGAATGAATGTTATTGCTCAGCTAGACTCCAGGGGAAGAAAGACAACGACCCAGGTTAGAAATCTAGAAGTTATCATTGACTCAGACCTGAGCTTCTCTGGACATATTAAGGCACAACTAAATCAGCGTTTTATCACCTTCATCAAACATCAAGAGTCAGAGGTCTCATGTCCAGACCAGACTTAGAGAAACTTATTCATGCTTTTATTTCTAGTCGACTGGACTACTGCAATGGTCTCCTAACTGGTCTTCCCAAAAAAGCTGTGAAGCAACTGCTGCTTGTTCAGAATGCTGCTGCTAGAGTCTTAACAAGAACTAAGAGAACGGAGCACATCACTCCTGTTCTTAGATCTCTACACTGGTTACCAGTAAACTACAGAATAGACTTCAAAGTGCTCCTACTAGTTTATAAATCACCCAGTGGCATGGGACCAGAATACATGTCAGATCCCCTTCTTGTATAAACACAGGGCTCTGAGATGAAACGATCAGCTGGTAGAACCTCGGGTCAGAACCAAACATGGCGGAGGTGCATTTAGTTACCATGCTGCTCACATATGGAATCAGCTTCCCCATGACCTCAGATCTGCCCCAACCCTAGTGTTGTTTAAAACAAAACTAAAACCCTCATGTACTCATCAGCTTTTACATGAATGGTTTTTTATCATGCATCGTGTCCTCTGTTATCTGTGATGTAATTGGTCAACCTTAAGTCTGTCTTTTCCTTTTAGCTCTAAATTATAATTTTATCTGTGTACATTTGTAATTTGTGTTCTTGTATTTGTTGTTGTGCTATTTAATGCTAATTGCAAAGCACACTGAGTTGCCCTGTGTTTGAAATGGGATCAATAACTAAAGCTGCCTTGCCTAAAATAAAACCCACAGAAACTCCACCACCACTGCTGGCACAACATTTTTTTTGTTCTTCATAAAAGAATCAAAGTGAAACAGCTCTCAGAGCTCCTCTTCCTGCAGCGGCTTTTAGGGGTTATGCCTCTAGTCCTAGACCAGACTTTGTCCAGGAGTCCAGGAGGACGTGGACTTGATTCCACACGAGGAACGAAGAGTTTTTTCATGAGTTCTTCTGATGCGTCTGCATCACACAAATCAACACAGCCTCTCTGAGCATTTCACAAGAATCTAAGTGTTGGGAAACGTGAGATTCCGCTAACAAATCCACTCATAAAGGAACAAGGAAGTCAAGTAACAGACAAACCAAAATGCAAATTATCTTTGTAGAAAGTCACGAGGTAGGTGAGGAGCTGGGGGGTTTGTCTCCAAACAGCCTGGAGGTGATGGAACTCTGACTCAGACTTGTCAGACTTGTCAGACTTGTCTCCAACCGTGACACTTTGATCCCTCCACATCCTCTCTGGAATGTGTGTGTGTATGTGTGTGTGTGTTTGTGTTTGTGTGTGTGTGCGTGTGTGGTTTCTGTTCAGTAACACTTCACAATAAGAATCCCTTTATTAATGTAACTCAGTGCATTATTAAGCATTAATAAACTACTACCTTAATAGCTCCCCCCCCCCACCCCCGTAGCTAGTTAACGAGTTAGTGTCCTTTATGACTCGATGACCCGTTTTTACCGTCTCCTATAAAGTTATTATTGGGACACAAAGTCTAAAAGACTTTTTCTGTTTTACGGTAAAATCCAGAAGGAACAAACTCAACATTTAAAACATGTTAGCATCAGCTCTCACCAGCTTGTCTTTAGAGGATTCTGACATGGGTGACTGACGCTGAAGGGTCTTTCTCAGGTTTCAGGGTGATCTGGATTGAAATGAGCATTGCTGCAGGTTCAAACACAGATCCATATTAAATAATAAATCTATTCACTCTCAAAGTATGGGCTTAGGCACGTTCAACACATGTCTTAAGGCTGTCGTTGCCACTACATGCACTATGATTTATTATTGTGTGATTGTTCAGTTAAACAATGTTGATTTTATATTTCATCATCAGGTTGACGCGGTGATAACTTGCTCCTGATGTATTGTTGTGTGTCCCATATTTTTCTTCTTCTAATCTTTCTCTTTCTGCAGGTCTAGAAGCAGACTCTTGTTCATTATTGTTTATTTTTGTGGGACCCCTCCCCCCCACCTTTTGTCTTTTCCTTTCTCTTTCACCTCTGACTCTTGTGTCTGGTCGGAATTACAAAGCATTCAAAAACAACAACAATAAAGTTTTAAGTATCAGGCGTGACATTATAAGCAGACGCTTTGATGCTTCACCTGAGAGTAAATCTGTAAGGCTTGTTACCAGCATTCAGACATCAATTCTGTTTGCTTCACAGCCAGACAGGACACTGTAAAAAAAAAATCTATTTTTAGCCTCGTGCTACTGAAACGACATTATGAAGAATCATTGTTGTTAAATAATTCTTCCGAAGCTCCTAAAATCCCAGAGAGTTTTAAAATAAACTTAATTATGTTTCTTTTGGTTACAAACAGCCTGTTGAATGTTTCTGCTCTTATCTGTTAGATTCAATTCCCTTTAGTGTTTCTTTAAATTAACTTTAAATTAACATTTAAAGTAAATTTATTTACTGTTTTGATGAAATTGTCAGATAAAAGTCAGACGTGAATAATCAGATGTTTAAATCAAATAAATGAGTTAAATATGAATGTATTAGTGGTTTTTCATGTAAAACAGGACGTTTTACTCTTATCAGATTTTTTTAATCCCAGGTTGATTATTTAGTTGTTTGATTATATTTTGCTGAATACATTTAACATAATTAAATATTTAAATTAGTTTAGAATCTGAATCTGAGTTTTAAATAAAAATCAAACATTTTGAGTCTTTTGTCTTCAGACGCTGATGGGTTTACGTCGTCCTGCAGGACACGCAGCTCTCACACAATCACAGTGAAACAAGCTAAAACCAGAGAACATGACTTCTGCTGAGCTTTGGGACGTTCTAATTCCTGATGTAATCTTTGCAGGGTTCTGAAGGGTCTGCTGCAGACCTCGTTCAGAACCCTGCAGGTTCCACCAGAACCTTCTGGACCACGTACCCGTGACTCTGCGCAGCCTGATCCGCGGATCCCAGCTGATATCCAGCAGTCTGCGCTGAGCTTTCAGCTCTTCTTCGATGGTTTTCTCAAACTGGGAGAATATTTCCTCAGCAGCAGCAGCTAGGCGCTCGCTGATGAACTCTCTCAGATGCTGAACTGAAGACATGGCTGCTGAAACTCCTGAAGCATTCAGCTGAGATGCAGCAACTCGGGTTGTGTGGGACAGGTGTGTGTTTGTGGTGCTGCGTGTAGGAAGGGAAGGTGTTGGCCAAAGGAAATTCACCCTACAGATCCAATCAGAGTGCAGATTTTAACAAAGCCGACCAATCAGGAGGGACTCGGGACCGAACCTACCTGAGTAAACACACGGAGCAAGTTTGGACTGATGGATTCAGGTATGAGCAGAGCCAGCCTAACTCAACCCCAAAAAACAACAAATCAGAAAATATCTTCTTAAATAATCCGAAACGTTCCCGTCCAGCTGAAGCTGCTGATAAAGAGATGAAATACGTTTATCTGGAAAGGGACACAATACTGCTCATAAGTATTCAAATATGCTGGATTATAGACAGGGCTAAAAAACTCCCAAAATGATGAGGATTAAGCACATTTTAATCCTGTTAGATTAAACCCTCTAATCCCACAAAACAACCAAAACTCAAAATAAATCTAACCTTGATCATCATTAAAAAACTAAATGATCTGTATTTGTATAGCACCTCCTTAGGGTTCTACAACCCCCCAAGGCACTTTACAACACAATCAGTTTTACGTCCCTTGGCTTCGCTAGGAGCACGATGGTGTTTGAGGGAGTAAAGAAGATTTTGTACCAGAATGAAACAAACTGAGTTTAAAACTTTTAGAAGGAAATTTATTAACACAGACTAAGCTCTGGGCTGAAAAGGAAACAAAAAGGTCATCCAAGACTGGGAATCAATAACAAAAGGAATTTCTAACTAATAAAACAATTTCTAATAAACAAAAAGCGCAGTGCAAAAGGGCTGGAATAAGGCTAAACGGATGAACACAAAAACTGCACCAAAAGGGTGAGCAAAGTCTCTCAATGAATGAGGACACACAAACTACTATTATTACTATAAACAAAAATTACCACTCAGGTTGCAAAACTAGAAATACCACTCAGGTAACGAAACTGGGAAAATACCACTCATGTAATCACACAACACTTTAACGTCTTAAACCGAGGAGAGATCAAGGAGAATCAACACCTCCGTGTCAACGCCCAACTGAAGTCTCTCCCAGAATGACAGCCAGAGCTCCCTTTTAACAGGGAGGCTCAATCAATCTAACAGCCTGCAGCTGTGCAGGCAGAGTACTGAGGGCCTCTAGTGGCCAGAAAGTGACAGTGTCTGTCACAATCAGTCATTCACACATTCACAGCCTGGTGGTGATGAGCTATGATGTGGCCACAGCTGCTCTGGGGCGAGCTGTCAGAGGCGGGGCTTCCTTACGCTTGCGCCACGGGTCCCTCCGACCACCACCAGCAGGCGGGAAGGTTAGGTGTCTTGCCCAAAGACACAGCAGCCTTCTCTGGTTGGAGCCGAGATCAAACCTGCAACTGTCTGACTACCGGACGACCCGCTTTACCTCCTGAGCTACAGAGGTCCTGATATTAATTATTGTTAAAACTATTCCAGCATCTATTCTAAGTGAAAGATAATCCCAAACCAGAAACCCTTTCCAGCCCTAGAATAATCCCTCTAATCTTGCAGATTAAAGCAAAATGTCAGTGAACCTCTCTGTCTACTCTGAAGTTTTCAGCTCTTGATAAGAATCAAGTTTTATGTTTTTTGTTCAAATCCCTAAAACATCTGAGCCTAGAGTGAAAAACAGCATGAAGCCGGCTGAAGCAGCAGCTAAAAACGTCAGCAAGACTCTGGATTATAACCCAACAACCTGAGTTACATGAGAAAGCATCTGAGGCCTGTGGGGGACCCCGCCAACATGTAATGCTGCTCTTCTCTGCTGCACTCATTAGGATCATCTTGCTCACTTGTGCCTGACCTGATTATCTCCACCTGCTCCCCTCACTATTTAAACTCTCCACCTCCCTGCCCTCTCTGCCAGACCATCCTGTGTGCTTCTCTGCTACAGATATCCAGCCGTAAGACCAAGACCAAGACCAAGACCAAGACCAAGACCAAGACCTCGACCTCTGCTCGCCTCTTACTCTACCCTTCCTGGATCCTGTTTGCCTCTCTGCCTCACGGATATCTGACTTGTTTTCTGGATATTGACCATAGAGACCTGCCTAATCCTACTGCAAGTATTCAAATCTCCGCCTCCTCGTGTATGACCTCTTGCCTGCCTTGTGTGTGTTTAAAGCGAATTCTGGACCTCGCCCCCTGTGAGCATTTTTGCCTTGGCTCTCCTCCCTCCACTTCCCACATGGAAAGAAACCCCCACCCCATGCTGTTTGACAACATAAACAGCTGTGTCATCCTACCAAAAAACACCACCCCTAGATTTAATATTAATGTTGGAATCCCACAAGGTTGCCCAATCTCACCATATCTATTCATTCTAGTTACCGAAATGTTGGCATTGTATTTAAAAAACTGTGATAACATTGCAAAATTAAATGTCCTAGGCACTGATCTAATTATAAGTCAACTTGCAGATGACACCACACTTTTTTTAAAGGATTCTAAACAAATTTCTATAGCCATCCAAAAGATTCAAGTCTTCTCTGAGGCCTCAGGTCTAAACCTAAATCTAAAAAAATGTGAACTTCTAGCCATTCACGACACACTGTTAAAAGAAATACATAATATCCCTATAAAATCTGAGGTTAAATATCTAGGAGTGACCATTAACAAAAACCCTAAACTTAATTCAGTCTTAAACTTTGAAAATAAACTTAAAGAAGGAAATTCTGAACTTAACCTGTGGCTCCAACGTGACCTTTCTATTCTAGGTCGTATCTATCTCACCAAAATGGAATGTTTATAAAGATAAGTTTACCCAACCTGTAACCTTGCCTTACCAAACTACCTAATTAAAAAAATAAATCAACAAACTTTAACTTTATTTGGAGAAACAAACCACACTACCTTAAAAAGGCCCATATGACTAAAGAAATAAAAGATGGAGGTTTAAATGTCATTGACTTTGAATGTCTTAATGGCACCCTAAAGATTAACTGGTTAAAATTTTGGTTAAATCACCCAGACGTCTTTTGGTATAGTATCCCCAATTACATCTTTAACAAAATTGGTGGCTTAAAAATTCTTCTCCTAACTGACTACGATATAAACAAACTCCCCATTAAACTTTCAGAGTTCCATAAATAAATTTTATTGTATTGGAAAATGATATATGTACATAACTACTCACCACACTCTATAATCATTTGGAACAATCAATTTATATTGCGCCGAAACAAATCACTATTCTATAAAGATTGGTGAGATAACAATATATGGTCTATTGTACACTTAATGGATGTAGATGGTCAGCTCTTGAATTATGACAATTTCTGCAGAAGATACAATTTTAAAGCTTCTGAGCTTGACTTTAACAGGTTACATACTGCACTTCCAACACAATTTATCATCCAAGCCTGAGAATATCTAAAACATCAATGTTCTATTCCAACCCTTCCTATCTTATCTATTAAAGGTCTTCTGTTAACTGACAGAAAATGCAACAATCTTACAATAAGATCAGTCTTAAATGAATCTCTTTTTCCTGGAAAAACAAACAAAAATAACATAATTTACAAATTTGATAAAATATCTGTGAGAAAATAAGAACTATCTACCTAAAATTACATATACCACCGAAAGCTAAAGAAACCCACTTTAAAATAATGAATGCAATCTATCCTTCAAAAGAATTGTTAAAAGCTCGTTTTAATATTGATAGCAACAACTGCTCTTTTTGCGAAAATCACATAGAAACTATAGATCATATATTTTATGAATGTCAGAAAACACAATTGTTCTGGAAAAAGCTAAAGATGTGGATCAAAACTAAAATACCACTCCCAGTTCACTTCACTAAAGATATGATAATATTTGGAATTCTATTCAATAATAAAAATAAAGAACTCTGCTTTAATATCATCCTCTGTTTAGCCAAAATTTTTATCCATAAACAACGAATTTTGCAATCATCCCCTGTCTTCAATGTTTTTTTAATAAATTTCAATTATATTTAAAATCCCTGAAACACCTCAACAAATACAGCGAAAATCTATACAACATGTTAGCTGAACTTCCAAAGTGATTAATTCTATATGATAAATGCTGTACCCTCATTGAAAGCTGTACTTTACTTGTTCGTGTTCTTTTGTCTCTTGTTGTTGTCTTTTACTGGACATTTACAAATGTTATATTAACTGCTCCTTTTGAATTTAAGTTTTGGACTTAACATTGTCAAGGTGCCATGTTTGTTTGTAAATTTACTAAATAATAATATTAAAAATAAATAAATAAATAAAACTCTGTAGTCATCTCCGAGATGAAAAAAGCTGTCCAAGAAAACACTAAACACATCACGGGGGTGAAGGAGTCGTTTGATGCTGTCTGCATCGAGCTAAATGATATGAAGGGCAGAATTGTTGATGTCGAATCACAGCTTGAACAATATAAAGCAATCGCTGAAACACAGGAAAAGTGCATCTCCCACCTGGAGAACTACTCACGCCGTTGGAATTTGAAGCTCTACGGCAGGGGTGTCAAATATGCGGCCCGCGGGCCGGATCCGGCCCGCAAGCGGGTTAAATCCGGCCCGCGAGATGGTTGTGTAAACTTTATTTTCATACTTTACAATGTAGAGTTAAAATAAACTTATCTTTGTGAGCAAGTTTTCTCTGTAATGAGTATAAATGCAACAAAGCTGCGCTCAAGGCTCACACAAGAACTTGAATCACATCCTGAAGTTGGCTGCCACTCAGGATGTGATTTCTGATATTGATGTGCTGGTGAAAGCTAAAAGATGTAAAGTAAAATGAGTCGAATATACTTTAAGTGCTGCATGAAACTGATCTAGTCATGTGGTCTGTAAGCTCTGAATCACTAAGGAAGGTTTTTTATTGATTTATTAATTTTTTTTTTTTTTTTTCAAATTTTCAAGTACACTTCAGGTGTTGTACTTGTACTATTTTGGATACACTGTCCTCAGGCTCCTGCCTTGTTTTATATTGATTGTATTAAAACAAAGAAAACAATCTGAAGTTGTTTTTAATTTACCGGTCCGGCCCACTTGGGACTAGATTTCTCTCAATGTGGCCCCTGAGCTAAAATGAGTTTGACACCCCTGCTCTACGGTCTGCCCGAGAGAGAGAAGCAGGACGTCCAACAGCAGGTCATCAAAGTCTGCAGATCAGTCCTGCCGGAGGAGCAGGTGAAATTCCTTGACGTCGTTGATACCGT